ACAATGTTATCCAGACCAGGGTTTTTCTGAATGTTCAAGAGAACCCTAAGTTTCCAGGGGAACATGATGGGATTCTGTGAGAAACAAAGGGCAAAAAAGTTCACTTGAACAAAAAGGAATCCATAAGAATTTTTCTAAGATTCTGTGGGAAGATGAGGCCATATTAGGAATATTCAGAAACACTCCCCTAGAGAGCAATCGTGCTTATGGTGACATAGTATTGTATGTATTGAGACAGGTAACAGGGCTTCCAGTAAATTATTTTAATGGGCTGTTCTAAAAAAGTTTGAAAACCCCTGGTCTAGCTGATCTTGCATTCTGTTTCTTAACATCCTGAAAAATCTGGGTAAGTCTGACAAGTTATTTTCTTTTAATGTTCATGTAAATATCTGTAATCTCAACTCCCAGTATGGCACTCTGCATTCCTGTAGATTCATCAGCAACTTAAGATGCTGACAAGACTTCCTGACCTATCTTTTCCAAAAGCTCCTTCCCATTAAAAATGTATATAGAAAACAAGTTGCAAAACACTAGTCTGAAGATGGGAACATCTGAGAAAATTAAGTGGGGGAGGTATAATAACCAAGCAGCTGGTGTGGAGGATGGTTGCATGGTTTGAAGGGGAAAAATAGCTAAGCAATCGCATCATAAGCTAAAGGGAATGGTGGAAAGGAACCTCGCCGTTTTGTTTTCTGGGAAATCCATGTAACCACACCCACCATGATAGGGTATGTCATGCTTTCAAAAATTGTATTTTTTTTCCACCAGTAGGGATAGCTAGCTTAGAGAAAGCCACCAGAAAGACAAAAAGCAGGAAAACTTTAAGGGAGAGGTTTGTGATTTGAAAACAGCATGCAGCCAAAAATTGCCTATATTTATTAATGTATTCATTTTTAAAAGCCTGTTAGGCTTATGGTTGCTACTAAACTGCAGCAGCAAATTCCAAGTAATTGTAACTTATATAAAATATTGTTTTGCTATTGAATTTCTTAGAAGTTCATTTAATTGGTTGGTCTAAAGACAGAGTTTTTTCAACTGAAGTCACAAGCAAATTTGAGAGCCATCACACATTCTCTGTCTAGACAGCCACCTTTTGTCTTGTCCAGGCAGAACAAGAACAGAGTCTGACAACAATTCTGTTGTGCATTGCAAACCAGACTTGTGCACCCAACTCAAATCGCTGTCAAGAATGTGCTGCCAAGGGCAACTTCATCATTTACAGTGTCCCTGCTCTCTTGCTTTGGATATGCCTTCATGTATAAGTCATTTGCCTGCCCACCAAGCCACACTAGTGCCCTCATACATCTTATTTGGACTTTCTGCTCTCCTTGAAGCCTGTTGTCTTTAACCCAGTGGTGTTCCTCTGCACATCACAGGCAAAGATAGGGAGGCAGCAGGTGGACGGAGTGAGATCGTCACTGCTTAGGACCTTGTGTTCCAAGGCTGCTACCACAGAATGGCTGCTTCAGTGATGGAGTGCAGAGCTGAGAAGCAGCATCAGCATCTCAGCAAATTCTAGCAATTTGGCTAGGAGACAAGACTGTTTCTTTTCTTTTTTTAAATATAGTTTATTAATTTTTACAATTAAAACCAGTCACAATACATACACAAATAAGCAAAAGAAAGAAAGAAAGAAAAGAAAGAAGAGAGAAGAGGAAGAGAGGGAAAGAATTTTAAGAAAAGAAAGAAAGAAAGAGGTTACAGGATTAAAAGTATTCTTATTTTAACAGTTTGCAAGATCTTCTTTTGTTTTCATCATCTTAAGTTAAGGTGGAGACAAGACTGTTTCTAATGAGAAAGAAAATGGAATGATAACCCTTAAGGAACCCAGGAAGCAGAAGTAAGGCTGAACTCCTTGGTTGGCCTCTGCCAGTTGCATTCTACCATGTTAACCACAGTACTGTAGCAAATCTGTATTGTCCACAGAACTCTCCCATAAGAGATCATCCTTATCTGTCTCTCATGAACCTGTAGAAAGACAGGGATTAGCAGAATTTTCAAAATTCTGCTACTAGGCACTATATCAATATTATTTCACTTAAACTCATGGAGTCTGTTTCTTGACCTGATCTATCTTAGAGTCCTGCCATCAAATTTGAAAGCCTGATTGTGTTTCCTTTTCTCTGTCTCTTATTCTCCAGCAAATTATGGTGGAGCCAAACTGAGCTGCTTTATCACACTTCTTCTATTTCCTATACTTAAAGTACACTTCCTTTTTTATAACCATTTCTATATATTTCCTCCAAGCTCATTCATTTGATTCATACTGCACTTGGCTGTCAACCCTCGAAAAGCAATGGCCCTATTCCGGGTGTTAAATTACCATCTTGTACACCCCAAAGGAGATAGTCCCTGTTTTTACCTTACACTAATAATTTTCTACCCATTACAATCCTAAAAAATGGGAGCGGCCAAGCTGTAGAATTTGAGCCAATCTCTATTTTTGCCATGTTTGACAGATCTGAGCAGAGCTGGACCAGCTGGAAGGATCTAGATCAGGACTGTCAAACTCCCATCCCACGGGCTGGATGTGTCACATGTTGGCCACGCTTGGTTTAATGAAGGGGGGGAAAAAAATCCTGATATGTCACGTGACACCGTGATGCCATGAGTTTTGGACACCCCTGATCTAGATTCAGAAATAACTGGTGCCTGGGCATAACTGTCCTGTGCTGGGGAAGTTTCCATATAATCTCTAGCAGTCCCTGATGCATTTGTGGAAAATTTGCCATACCCTCTATAGTGGATCAAATGGAGGTTTGAGCCTGATGCTCAGTCCTATACACCGGGATTTCCGGCATAGAAGAAGCAATTATACTGGTAGGAAAAATTATCTTACTGGCCTAGGCTCCCCTAAAAGTCATTCTGGACTCCAAAAAGCTACCTCCAGAAATGGTGAGACTCTGAAGGGTCTCTTGCTTCCTGTCAAGTCAGCTTGACTTTTAACTTCAGGTTGTTGCCTATTTTAAATAAGACCAAGGTCTTCATTATTTGTTATTTAGCTATCCTGCTGATTTAGGAAACAGCACTTCTAACAGAATCCAAGGAAGTAAAATCAAAAAAAGATATAGGACAGTAGCTGAACACAGTACATGTTCTGAGAGGTAACATAACCATAGTTTACTCAACCCAATTTTACATTATATTGGAAACCATGAATTAACAATACTTGCTGAGATTCTCAATGCATTATGGTATGCTAAAATCAACTAGTTTGGAGTGAAATTTATGATTCAATATGCTCTGGAAATCCAGATAGCCAAGTTAATTCAGTAACCATAATTCAATGAGCCAGAGATTGAGAAAAAAAAAGGAGTTGTGTCTTCTCTAACTTTTTACATCAAGTAATCTCACAGGACTTGATAGACTGACTAAATTATGTGTAAATCTTTTTTTGACTCATAGCCACTATATATAGTCACACTTATCAAAGCTTTTAGAAAAAAAAAAATTGCTCATGGATCTCTGCCCATCTGCTTGGATTGTGAGAGAATAAAAAAATATTGCCTGATTTGGGAGTCTTTGGAGAACTATGAAATTTTTTATTTGCTAAATGAATCAGTGCTGCAATAACGTTTAGAAATTACAGCCATTAATTTCTATTATTGTAGAAACATGAATTAATTTCTGCTATTAATTTCTGCTGTGGGATAGGAGTGAGCTGCATTTCAGTAACATCTGTGTAACATGAAAAAGCTTCTAATGTATTATGAAATAGTTACGCTAGAAACTCAACAGTTTTGCTACATTCTCATTATTTAGGTGTCAGGATGGAAGTTATTCCACTGGTCAGGTAGCTGTAGGTCTCCAACTCTCAAAATTCTCCAGCCAGCTTATAGTTGCCAAGTTTGGACAGCCCTGCTCTAGTCTAATCACAAACCATTCAGTTATAGCAGGCAGGGTACAGACAAGAGTGAAAAGTTTTACTTTCTCCCACACAAGTTGTGTTGCCACATACACCTGGTTAGAGAGTGCAAAGAGCAACAAAAATGATTAGGCGGCTGGAGGCTAAAACATATAAAGAGAAAGGCTGCTGGAATTGGGTATGTCTAGTTTAATGAAAAGAAGGACTAGGGGTGATGATAGCAGTGTTCCAACATCTCTGGGGCTGCCACAAAGAAGAAGAGGGAATCAAGCTATTTTCCAAAGCACCTGAAGGCAGGACAAGAAGCAATGGATGGAAACTTATCAAGGAGAGAACCAACCTAGAACTAAGGAGACATTTCCTGACAAGTGAGAACAATTGATCAGTGGAACAACTTGCCTCCAGAAGTTGTGAATGCTCCATTACTGGAGGCTTTCAAGAAGAGATTGGACACCTAATTGTCTGAAATGGTACTATAGGAGCTCCTGCTTGTACAGGGGGCTGGACTAGAAGACTTCCAAGGTCCTTTCTAATTCTGTTATTCTGTTAACTGAAAAGGCCTAGTACAGTATTTCTCAATTTTAATAACTTTTAAGACAAGTCAACTTCAACTCCCAGAATTCCCCAGCTAACTTGGTGGCTGCGGAATTCTGGGAGCCCAAGTTTCTAAGGTTGAGAAACGCTGGCCTAGTAAACTGCGTTCACAGCGTGCTCCGCCGCAAGCAGAGAAACCTCCTCTAGCCTTGGCGACGGACAGCAAAATGCCGGCTGCAAATAGCGAACGGCAGCAATGAGACAGGCAACACTTCGCGTCACGATCGTCCAAGTCTGCCGCCCAGGACTACTGTATGCCTTTACTTCAGTGCACTGTCTGAATTCAGCCAATGCACGTGGGACGAGAAGGTATTCAAACGGGCCATTGCTTGTAGAAAAAAATAAAAATAATATAAAATAAATAAATAAAAATACTTGAAAAAGGAACTCCAACTCGGTAGAGAAGCAAAGTAAGAAGTCAGCCACCCCCACCCCCTAATTCCTTCCAGGCCACCGCTTCCGTCTCTGAATCCGGAACCTCCCGTTACAGGCCCAATAAGACAAGAAGATGCCCTCCGCCGAACGCCAAGAGGAGGGAGGAGGAGCTGCGCAGGCGCCGTAGTGAAGAAAGGGGCGCAAGGCTCGCGGCACGGCGAGAGAAGCGCGCGCGACCTCGTACCCGAGCGGAGCTTTTTTTTTTTTTTTGGTGCTCCGTTCTTGCTGTCTGGCGAACGCCGAGGCCGCCATGCTCTGCCGCTTGGCTGTCGCGGCCGGCCGCAGGTGAGAACCTGGCGGGGTCGGGAAGCCCTTGAATTCCCGGCCAAGGACGCGACGAGAGGCGGGAGATTAGGAATGGCCAGGACGCGAGGGCACGAAAGGGCGGACTGCTTGGGGAGCAGGAGGAGGAGGAGGAGAGCGCTGGGATTCGGTCGAAGGCGGCTGCCGCAGGCGAATAGCAATAGCGCTTAGACTTCACAGTGCTTTGCAGCCTTCTCTAAGCGGTTTACAGAGTCAGCCTATTGCCCCCAACTACCCGGGTCGTCCTTCATTTGAATTACGGGTTTATCGTCCCATTGAAGGCCAGTATAGCTGGAAGGGTCAAAGCGTTGAAGCTACCCCGTTAAAGCTTTTGCATGTAGCTTTTATTCTGTGTCCAAAGGAACTGCGCAGCTTAAATTTATTATTTGCCCCTGGCACTGTCAGCCCGATAATGAAGTGCTTTACAATAATTTTGGAACTGGCTTTGGCTGTTGCATATCAACCTTGTTAAGTAAATTATTGTCATTGGCCAGTCATTGGTTCCTCCCTCTATAAAGGGGAGTTTATTTATTCATCGAATTTGTATGCCACCCATCTCACTGTTACCGCGATTCTTACAGAGTAATTAAAATGTAAAAAACATAGCACAAAACACTTAAAAGTAGGAAGATTAAATAAACTAAAAACTAAGAGGACAAGCACCCGAAGGTGGGGATTTTCTCTCTAGCTCACCTCCAGCCAAGAAAGCCCCAGCCAACTGGCAAAGAGTAGGTTAGTGCCCTTCGATTATGTGCCATTGGACATAGATTTCTATGAACATGCTCTTCTTTAATGCTTGTTTTTTTGCAAATGCCCACGCCCCCTAGTAAAAAGAGTTTTCTGCATGTGCTGTCATCTTGTAATAATCTGGATTTAGAGGCCAAGTATAGTAATCCTATGTTGACAAAGTTTTTCTAGCACTTTTCCCTTTGTGAATGTTACATATATTCTTCCACAAAAGAGAAACAAAAACAATACTTGCATTTTATAGCTAAACTTTGATGCCACTTTTTAATGTTTGTGGATATATGTATATATTATGTTGTTTTATTATTGATGTTGTTTTGGCTGGGACTACTGAGAGTTTTATATAAGATAGGCACCTATATAAATGTTGAAAGAAAGAAAAAGAATGAATAAATGAATCTGCGTATGGGATGGCAACAACTTTATTTACTGATTAAAAACGTAGTTTTGACTAGAAGCCTGAAAGAAATCTAATATCAACTTTAATGAAAAATAAAAGTCATAAGTGATAGTTAGTGCTTAGTGTTTCCAATCCATATACACAATACAGTCCATATTTTCAAAATACATTTAAAGAATAAAATATTCAATGTAGTTCAGTTTGAAAGAAATGTGTATCACAGTGCAGAAGATATGAAAGAATCTCCCATGGAGAGGAGGGCATGTCTTACACTCTTGGTAAAATTAGAAGAAGCTGTTGCAAGCAAATGAATACAGGTAGTCATTGACTTAAAAAACATTTGTTTAGTGACCATTCAATATTACAGTGGCACTGAAAATAATGACTTATAACTGTTTTTTACACTTAGAACCATTGCACCATTCTTGTGTTATGTGGCAGCTGGCATGTATTTATAACAGTTGCAATGTCCCAGGGTTTTGCAACCTTGACAAAGTCAATTGGAAAGCCAGATTCACTTAACAGCCATGTTACTAACTTAACCACCACAATTATTTTCTTAACAACTGTGGCAAAGAAAGGTAGCAACAAGGAACAAAATTCACAACTCTGTTGCTTAGCAATTTTTGTGCTCAATTGTAGTTGTAATTGTAGACTGCTGGAGATAATATAGAGAACCGTGATGGCACAGTGGTTAGAATGCAATACTACAGGTCTAACTCACTGCTCACTGTCAGGAGTTCAATCAGACCGGTGCAAGGTTGACTCAGCCTTCTATCCTTCCGAGGTCGGTAAGGAGGGCCCAGATTGTTGGGGGAGATATGCTGACTGTAAACTGCTTATAGAGTGCTGTAAAGCACTGTAAAGTGATATATAAGTATAAGTGCTATTGTTGTTGCTATCTATAGATGGCTACTGATATTGTTGCAGTAGGGTGGGAGCTGTTGGAGGCTATCTTGGACATCAGTTATTGCTTGTTGAAGTTAACGCTTATGTTGCACTTTCAGAGAACAGTAATCTCTTTCCCATACCTCATCTCTATCTCAGGTCAGAGTGTAAAACGATCAAACAAATTAATTGTGTGATATTAACATAAATCATATCTAGGCTGATCCCTGTATCCCTGTCATTGTCCTGGGCTATGTTTTGTTTCTCTTCAATTCACAGGTTAAATGGAAGAAATAATGATATGAGTAATTGTGGCAATAATGATAATGATTAGGAAAATTTTAACAGCTAAAGGTATCGGGTGATAGCAAAAAAAAATCCTACAAAGTGAAAATCAATGCATTTTTATTATATAATTATTTTTTTGTCTTTCAGAAATAACACTGTGCTGATTACATCTCTTGGTTGGGTGGCCTCCAGAAAAAAGCACACTCTCCCTGACTTGCCCTATGATTATGGTGCTTTGCAACCACATATTAGTGCAGAAATTATGCAGCTTCACCACAGCAAACATCATGCAGCATATGTAAATAATCTGAATATTGCTGAAGAAAAATACAACGAGGCTTTGGCAAAAGGTACTGGGAATAATATATCACTGTACATCTTTCTGATTTTATTCCTTTAAAACTGTCACTTTATGACTGTTCTATGTACATTTGTTTCCCCTATGCTAAGAGTAATAATTATTCAAGATGAAAGCCATCTTTGGACTGTCAGTGAGTCAGACTCACACATAAACTCTTTTGAATTTTCAGAGGAAAAAATGGGATATAAATGCAGCAATTTTGTTCTTATCTTCTCTTACCCAATTGGAGTGCAATAGGGGCATTGTAGAGTCCAGGATCCACATGTCAAATGTTAGTTTAAAAGACTTAACATAAATGATAATGAAACCAATTTGAGGACTTTTATGCAAAATGAATATGTTAAAGAGAAGGCATTGTATCATCAACTAGCCATTGATAGTAGCCTTAATATGTTTGGATTATGAGGAAATCACAGTTGAAATTTGTTGTCCCCCTGGCTGACTAACACAAGTAAGCAGAGGAGGCCATTTGTCATTTGTGCCTTCCGTCCCTACTTGGTTTATTACATTTTCAGAAGTATTAGTTATGAATGGTTTATGTAAATTATTGAATATAACTTTTAATCCTAGCCGGAATATAAGTTTATTTCTATGTTACCAGCATACTAGTTATTGAGGACTTTGATGCTTCTCAACAATTGCTCATAGAAGCTTTAGAGATAGAATAAGGAGAAGAGATGTTGTCCATAAGAGTTTAATAATTAAACTGGGACAGGAATGCTTTTTGTTGATGGTTCCAAGAATCTTTATTCATAGTATGTAGCCAAGCAATGTTCTTGGTGTGTGGTCTAGAGATAAATCAAAAGAATCTTATTTAAACTGCATGAAACAGAAAATAAAAATCAATTTGCATAAAGCTAGTTTATATTTGCATCCATTGTTTCATGTTGCATTTTTTGTGTCATCAGAAGAAAATTTGATTAGTCTGATGATAATTTTTTTAATCAAAAGAAGCTTTCAGCATAAGACTTTTCCCTTCTTGGTGTTATTTCCATTTCCATTTCTGATTAATGATACATTCAAGAAAAGAAAGTCTGGGAAATCAACTTTTGTTTTGCCTTTCTCCTAATTCAGGAAGTGGCAATTATAATTCCTTGAAACTGGTATGAGGAAGCATGGATTTGGTGTGTTGGAACCCAAAGCTAAAGGAAGCCAGGTTAAGTTCCTAACATTTTAGAAATTTTGCTGAACTGAAGAATGTCAACACATGTTTTAACTAGGATGTGCATGACAGTACTTGAATACCTGTTCTAATTCTTAAATGGAAGGCACTTGCATAAGATGTTTTGAGTTAGGGCTTAATAGTTCTGCTTTTTCTCTGTACTTTCCATCTTCAGGGGATGTAACGGCCCAGGTGTCTCTTCAGCCAGCTGTGAAGTTCAATGGGGGAGGTCATATTAATCATAGCATCTTTTGGACAAATCTGTCTCCTAAAGGTGGAGGAGAACCAAAAGGTTTGTATTTGAACTGGTTTATAGTAGTTTTTAGTAATACTGATACAGGCTTAGGTAAACTTTGGGTTTATTTTAGAAATTTTGCTTAAGTTTTAAATAAAATAAATTGGTTTCCATATCAGTGGCAAATAAAAATCAGAGCTGAATAGTTGATCTGCATCACTCAAAAATGCTTATTAATGTTTACAATGAGGGTGTCCACAGGGAGGATCAACAGTAGCAAAATGGTAAACAGGCCAGGTAATTAAATGCATGCATATAAATGTTTTTACATGCATATAATGTGTAAAAAGGGGGCACAGTGGCTCAGTGGTTAAAGACATGAGTATGTCAGCTGGAAAGCTGACAGCCTGAGTTTGGGGCCAGAGTGCTGTGGGATAGGGTGAGATCTCATTCCTGCCCCAGCTCCTGCCAACCCAGCAGTTTGAAAGCATGCAAATGCAAATAGATAAATAGGTACCACGTTGGTGGGAAGGTAACAGCGTTCCATGCACCCTGATATATATTTATACTGGCCACATGACCAGGGAAGCCTCTTCAGACAACACTGGCTCCCTCGGCTAAGAAACTGAGATAAGCACTGCCCCCTAGAGTCGGATACGACTGGAAAGGGGAAACTTTACCTTTACCTTTATAGTGTGTACAATACCTGTTAAAAAAGTGGGACTTTGCTCAGTCCGTTCTGCCATTTTGAGAGTGTTGAACCCCTACCAACACAGCAGGCTTCAGTATTAGCTTGACAGAATGATAATGTCTGGTATGAGAAATAATAATTATGTAGATACAAAAGTTATGTCTTCCACTTTGATGGTATTGACAAAGGGAGCCTTTCATGTTACTAATATTAGAGCTAGTTTTACAGTGTCTGCAGATTCATAGGCCTAGAGTTGGTGTGATGACGAAGGGTGTGACACAGAGATAACACAAACAGCTGGCAGTTCAAACTGGGCCGTTTATGCTCCAAATTTCCCCGCAAAGCTTCCACGTTGCTGACAAGTCCCTGAGCAGGGTGATAATAAAACCCCACACAAACCTCAAGCAGCCTCTGGTTGCAATTAGTCCAACCCAGCGCTGTATTCATCAAGGCTGCACGGCAATAAATCCCAAATGTATTTGGTAAAACGAGCAAAGCAAGGAATTCAGGGAGCAAAATATCCAGATAATTGGTCCAGAATGCCACACAGGAATGCAAAGATTCTTGGCACATTCAAATAGCATACAACACTTCCGGAACTCAGCGTTTGTTCCCAACAAATGCCCCTCCCCACAGTGTCTCCTTAAGTCACCTTCCCCAGGTGTGCCTGGTGAAGCTGGACAGGGCACTCTCCTTGTGAGTGGCCTGCTCCGTCTGAGTTGATCCTGCCTTCTCTGCATTCTCTGAGCCCTTGCATCAGTAAGGGGTGGTTCTTGCCCCTTGTCTGAGCTCTGTTCCTGTCTGCCTGCAGGCCTAACTAATTCCGAAAGGCCTTGCCTGGACTGACTGCCGTTCCCCAGTTGCTTCCAAGGCCAATGGAGCTGCCTCTCGCTCTCTGTCAGTTCTTGTTCCATCTCATCTTCCCCCACTGATTCAGACTCTGACAGGGCCATGATAGTTGGGGCATCTTTTCAGATGCCATGCTGAGACAGGTTTATCAGAAAGTAAAATATTTCTATATGGCTTTCAAAAATAACACAGATCAAAAAATAAAAACAAGAAATCGGAAAAGAATGTATGAAAGCAAACTAAAATATTGGTATTAAAATAACATTTACATTATTTTAACTTTGGCCCAATACTGCAGTTGATAATCAGGAAATAAACCAAAGCTGTTTATGGAATGTTAATGGCCATATAATAAAACAAGTGGCTAGCGTTAAGTATTTAGGAGTAGTCATGCATGCCACTGGTTTAAGGAACACCCATGTGAATATGCTGCTGCTACTGGACAAAGATTTGCCAATCCCATCCCTAAGTTTTTATGATCCAAAGGAGGCTATTATGCTCCAGCCACACTTAAGCTTTTTCAGGCTAAGTCGCTAGCCTAACTCTTTTATGGGACTCTGGTTGGCTCCTCCAACTTCACATTTCACCTCTCTGGAGAGGATACAATCCAAATTTATCAGAGCAGCTCTCCAGATACCATGCTGTGTCTCAAACACACATCTACAACTGAAGACAGGTATGATAAAAGTTGAGTCAAGAGTGTCCAATTTCTATAAACCTTTTGTTAAAACTCAACTTACGTCTTCAAGAATTAGCATCATTGGCTTGTGCAGAATTGGACAGTTAACCCTAGAATTAAAAAAAAAAAAGGGAGAATCTTGAGTACTATGAAACGTGGAATAAATTCTATCAGTGGTTGTGTAGAAGAAGGCACGGTCAGAACATAAGTAGCTATGATGATTAGAATAATTAGTAAGCAATGTATCAAACAAGAAGATTGTAAATGGTGAAGTAACATTTATATATGTATGCCAGAAGGGCTGCACCATGTTTTCAATCTGCAGGGTTCAAGGCTGTTGAATCTAATATTTTAAATCCAGGCTAGTCTCCGTCCTCAGTGCTTAAGATGGAATATGATCAGGCGAAACAAACCCTGAAGCAAGGGATAAAGGATACAGAGAGGCAAGCAGACCTAGAGAAGGTCCCAGGCTTCCTATCATCAGTATGCAACAGATATATTGTCGCTTCTGCCACCAACCGTACATGGCTAGAAACACCCAACCATCAGAAAACTTTCTTGCCCAGTGTCATGCTCTCCCCTCTGCAGTATTGGATGGTAAAGATCAAAAAATACCAAGGCCAGTGATTCCAGAGAAGTGGAAACTACAAAACATGTTCTTCTTCATTGCTCCTTTTATGGAGATATCCACACTAGATTTATATTGCCTCTGATTAGTAGATATCCAGATTTCCCCAAATTTGGCTTTTGCCCAGATGCTGCTCATAGATATGTGCGCCTTGTTACAGTACAGGTAACTGTAACTGTCTTGTGCAGCATTGTGGAAATTCTGTTCAAGCTTGATATGGACCAATTTCCCATAATGCATTCTTTGTAACTAATTCATTTAAATTTTAGTATTTGTTGATACTAATGGTTTTAGATAATATTACTTTGTTGTAAATTTAATATAATTTTAGTGTTTACATTATAATTTAATATGGGCTGTATTCTAGAACTCATCTATAGATATCAGTTGGATTGTTTTACAAATGTATTTTAATTTTGTCTTAAACTTTATTTTATTTGTCATCTGCCTTTTGAAACAACAGCATAAATACAAGGTCAGCAGGTTGCAGAATCACACAGAGCCTACATATCTACATATATCTACATATCCTTCTTTCACAAGTGTGAAATAGCTCTGACTTTTGCTGCTTACAGTTCTGGTGGCTCAGCACTGCAGTAGCAGCATTGCTAAACAATTACCATTAACTAGCATATCTTTCTCAAATCTTGATTAAGAGACAGCCTGATAAGTTACAATTATAATCCTGATGATAATGAATGCCTTGCTGTAATTAATATTGCATTGAATTGATGGGAGGAACATAATAAAATATGTAATTTTTAGGCTGCTTCTATTTTCTTCACATTGGTTAAAATTATGTTGATTTCTTATTTACACCAACTGTCTTCAGAATTAATCTGAAATAGTTCTTTGGGCTACCTGATGAAAAACAAACTATGATGTGCTATGTAAATGCAAACTGTTTATATATTTCTCGTTTTAAGGAGAGCTCTTGGAAGCCATTAAACGTGATTTTGGCTCTTTTGCAAGTTTTAAGGAGAAACTCACCGCTGTTTCAGTTGGTGTCCAAGGCTCAGGTTGGGGATGGCTCGGTTTTAATAAAGAATCTAATAGACTCCAAATTGCTGCCTGTTCCAATCAGGATCCTCTACAGGGAACCACAGGTAAAACTCTAGATGGAAGTTGACTACATCTATCAAAGATCATTTTTAGCTGCAGAAGGAATAAAGTAGTATCTATAAGCACTTAGTCTTATATACTCCTCTGTAGTGTTTTACAGCACTCTCTGAATGGTTTGTAACGGTGATGGCTAACCTTTTCCACATTGTGTGCCAAAAGTGTGTGCGTGCATGCGCGTACACGCCTTCTCACGTGCCTGCACCCATGATGCAATGCGCGCATGACCCCCGCATCGCACACCTCCACGCGTGTGCACACAACCCCCTGCATGCCTCTGTGCATGCGTCTTCCATGCGCATGTCTCCCCCACATGCCACTGTGCATCCGCGGCGGATGCCCGACGGCTGGTGGGGGGCATACGCACATGCGCAGTGAGACTCTTCTGGCCAACCTCTTGCGTGCCACTTCCGGCATGTGTGCCACAGGTTCACTATTATGGGTTTATAAAGTCAGCATATTGTTCCCAACAGTCTGGCTCCAATATGAGCATTGATGATTCTGCTCTGTGCTTCACTAGTGAATGCTTTTGTTTTACTCCTGATGTGTTTCTGACAATCTCACTTCCATAGCAGTTTGGATAAGAAAACAATAGAGTAAACCAGATATGAGCAACATTTGTAGGCTAAAGGCTAGATTCCCCAAAGCATACTCTTAGCCACCCTGAAAGTTTCAGCAATTGGGTGTTCAGACATTGATATAAAATAATACGTGTTGGTGGAAAAACTTCCAAAGTGCTCCTGCCCTTCCTCATCTCCCCTGCAGCTAAGAAATAGCTCAGTCTCTCTTTCCAGCTTCTCATTTCAGTCTTGTGATCATCACATAGTTTTTGGCAAGGACAGCTGTCCTTGAACTGAGTTTTGCTTTGAATAAGAATATGTTGGGAGGTATTTTCTGTGTATATGAGAAAAGCATTTGCTTTCTCTTTCTATCTTAAGACCAAAATGCCCTTTTTACAACTTTCTAGGATTAACAAAATAAAAACTCTTCTTTCTACACCTTTATAATTTACAGTAGCTGTATTTAGAGGAACTCTGTTTCTTAGAGGAAGAAGGTATAGATACTCTTCAATTTACGGTCACAATTGGGCCCAAAATTTCTGTTGCTAAATGAAACATTTGTTAAGTGAATTTTGCCCCATTTTAAGACCTTTCTTGCCACAGTTGTTAAGTGAATCACTGCGGTTGCTAAGTTAATAGCACAGTTGTTAAATGAATCTGGCTTCCCCATTGACAGATAACAGATAATCAGTTGGAAGGGACCTTGTAGGTCATCTAGTCCAACCCCTTGCCCAAGCAGGAGACACTATACCATTTCTGACAAATGGCAATCCAATCTCTTCTTGAAAGTCTCACTTTGATTGGCTTGTCAGAAGGTTGCAAAAGGGGATCACATGACCTCGGGACATGGCAACTGTCATAAACATCAGTCAGTTGCCAAGTGTCTAAATTTTGATCATGTGACCATGGGGATGCTGCAATGGTTGTGTGAAAAACAGTAACAAGTCAGTGCCATTGTAACTTTGAACAGTCACTAAATGAACTGTTATAAGTCGAGAACTACCTGTATGTCTAAGAGACATGATGGGTGTGTAATGAGAGTAATTAAACCTGTCTGGAAATCAGTTTATTTTGAAAAGTATGTTTTATATTCCCTTGAAAGAAATTAATACTAACTGGCTGGTCAGTATTTATTTTGGTAATAACCCTATAGGCTTTATTTAAATTTGGGTGGTGGGTATGTTTGTGGCAATAACTTGTTAAAGTTTGTAGAATTTTAGCAATATTTTTCCTCTTTTTTAGGACTGATTCCTCTATTGGGAATTGATGTATGGGAACATGCATATTATCTTCAATATAAAAATGTTAGACCCGACTATCTCAAAGCTATCTGGAATGTGATCAACTGGGAAAACGTTTCTTCAAGATATGCAGCTTGCAAATCATAGAACAGAAAATCTTATAGAAACAAGACCTAAGTGTTCCTCAGATTATTTTCATAATATGTAGCAGTTCAATTGTTAATTGTTCCATTACTGAAAAATACCACATGACCAGAAAGTCCTCTCTATCAAGCTAATTTGTACCTAATTGCGGTAAAATTGTAAGTTCTGAAAGTGCTAATTGTCTCTTTTAAAAAACGGGTTATCTAATTTTCTGAAAGAATGTAAATTTCTAAAACTTAAAAATGGATTATAAATTCCTTTTAGTAATATGTGAATTTGAATGCTTTTGAATAATTTCTTGCAAATTTAAGAAGAGTCCAGGAAATAAAATTTAGAGAACATTTAATAAATTAGATGTCTTGAAAAGTTATATATCAAGAGTTTCATGTACTTAAGTTATACTGTTATACTCATGTTAATGATTGAAATTCGGCATGTTCATTATAAAGATTCAAAATCTGTGTCAGTTGATAAATATAGAAGTTCAGTTCGTGAAATTTGTGTTTCTGAAAGTGGGAAAAATCAGTGATACAATATAGTGTACCAAGTATATAAGATAAATTGGTTGGATTAAAGATGTAATTTGCACTTTGTGCCTTGAGTGAAATATATCCATCTATTGCTATGTCTACTATATATCTCACTATTGTATATGACGCTCCAAAAATAAAAGTGCAGAATGACTCTTAAGTCATTAAATATGTATTATGCTAATGGACCATTTTAAATGAAAGAATTTTAGGTTTAAATGTGAAAATTAAGGGGATTGGTGTATTGAGTATGCCTGGAGAAATGGTTGTTAAAAATTCAGAATCTCATACTTTTAAAGAGCAAAATATGGAAAAGGTGAAAATGAGAAAAATAGATTTATTTAGACACAAGGTAAATTGAATAGGCTTAAATTATAAAACATTGCATATAAATAAGATATTGAAAGTTGGTTGCAGATTACAATAGAATAAATAGAATGTTTGACAAATGGTTCAGCTCTGAGCAGGGAACAAACCAAAGATTTGTTTGTGTAAGGAATATTTTGATATCAGAGATGTGTTTGGGGACATGAATACGTGTGTATTTTTGTATGCAGATTATGCTGTGTTGTTGACTGAGAACCTAAACTTGCAGTAGATGTTAGGGTAGATAATGCATTGAATATGGATAAAAATAAATAAACAATCAAAAATTAGAGCATGGAAATGATTCTGTGCACCTTATAAGGATCTTAAAAATATTTCATACATATCATTTAATGTATTAACAGCAGGGAGGGGATTCAGTTGTCTAGGAAGTACAAGATAGATTTTGTGTGTTTTGTAAGTGTCCCTTAAGTCATTTTTGTAAAACCATGAGGGTGAATGAGTATGAAATGTTAACTCAAGTGTTCATGCAATCTGATCATCAAATAGGGGCGCCATGGCTACATCTGTTGTTCTTGGATTGAGTATAGTAGGCTTCCATCCCCTAGAGAATTTACAAATCAGTGTATTTACAAATTTACAAATAGTTAATTTTCTATTATGTAAAGGTAGCAGGAAGTCTTTAACATTGCCACTAGATGGCAGTGCTGTACCATACTTAGAAATTCTGTTTGGCTAATGCAATAAATTATTGGTATCTTTAAATACTAACTAATTTGTTATGACATAAGCTTCTATAGGCTAGAAAATATTTCAACAAATGTAGAAAATGTTTGCATAAGCTGGAAGAAGAGTGAATATTAATTATCCAACTCAGCAAATGGAAAGATACACTATGGGAATTATGGTAGGATTCATTAAAGACTAAATAAACTATAGGAAACAGGCTTTATAATTTTTTCTTTTAATGGCTTTCTATCCACTCTCCCCATTGTCACTAATTGATATAGATAAGAAGAAATATCTATTCCAGAATTGAGGCTGGTGTACAGCAACCTAGTAAAGAACTTATTAGGGAATGGAGGAGCTTTGGATCCAGAATATCCAAAAGATTTTGCCTAAATTACTGCCAACAGTTGGTTCCATCCCCAGAGATTTCTCATTACAGTCCCCATTCCATTTGATCTAGCAGCTAAAATAATAGAATAGAATATTTTTTTGAAATAATGATTACGGAAAAAAATGTGTAACTTGCATCCAAGCAGTAGCTTTTGTTTTTTTTCAAATGGGGGAGAGATTGTTTTCAATATCTCCTTTTAAAAAAAAAAACAACAACAAATGAAGTTTTCAGTAAATGGCTGCAATGAAAGTTCTCTTTTAGTGTTAACAGCATAAATATGGCAGCAAATTGGGAATATGTCTCCTGTCTGAAATCCTCTTGGAATTGAGGGTCTGAAGTGTGTATCAGGTGTGGCTTCAGCCATAATATCACTGAAATTGAAATTTCTGATTTTTCTAATATTTAAGCAATAGCAATAAGACTTCTATGCCGCTTTATATTGCTTTAGAGCCAGCGTCTCTAAGCAGTTTTACAGAATCGGCCTATTGCCCCCAATGATTTGTGTCCTCATTTTACCCACTGATCGGAAGAATGGAAGGCTGAGTCAACCTTGAGCCTGGTGAGATTCGATCTGCCAAATTGCAGGCAGCTGGCTGCAGCAGAAGTAGCTTGCAGTACTGCACTCTAACCACTGCGCCACCGAGGCTCTTTTCAATATTTTACCCAGAATATTGATCATATTTTAAAAATATTTTTAAATGGTATTGCTTTGTCCATTCGTGCATAAAGTGAGTTTTATCCACTACAAACACAATAGGATTGTGTTTATTTAAAGTGTATTCTTTCAGCTGATGTTCTGAAAACAAGTCTGGTGAACAGAAACGTATGATCTCATAAGTTTCAACCAACTGAAATACTAACATTCCATTGGATTTTTATTGCAGAATAATTTACAAAATACTACACATAAATTCTTACCTATCTTTAAATTGAATGAAATGGCAAATAAATTGACTTAAGGCAACAATCTTCTGATCCTTGGAAGTAAGCTCAGAGACTTAAAATATTTCAGAATTTTCTTTCAGAGGGTAGAGATTCAACTTAGAACATGCTAATAGGGCACATTCCCTTTTAGGGTCACTGAAACTGCTGTCAAAGATTTGACAGAATTGGAAACAAGCGGAATATATTTCATGAATGTATGGTGACAGATTCCCTAGAGCAGGGGTGTCAAACTCGAATTCATTGAGGGCTGCATCGGGGTTGTGTTTGAACTTGGGTGGGTTGGCGGCGGCATGGCCAGGGTGGGCATGGCCAGTTCAACATCACTCGTGTTGGTGATGTCTGTGGTGTCCCGAGCGCTCTGCTAGCAAAGATGGGGCTCCGTTTTTGCTGGCAAAAGCACTGCGGACCGGTCCTTTGCTATTTCCAGAGTGACCCTGCAGGCCCGGTCTAAGCACTCCGCAGGCTGCACCCCTGCCCTAGAGAGATCCCCAGAATTTAAAAAACAACAACAACATGGCAGCTCTGGAGAATTCGTATGTAATTTGATAGACAATCTTTAAAACAATCATTACTGAGAAAGGCAAATGATGCTGCGATTCAGAAAAGTTGTTGATTCATCTTTGATCAGTTCTTTCACTCATGGGATTCTTTTGCCCAGAAGATTAAATCAACAGTTGTGTAATACTTTACCACCTAAGAAAACGCACATTCTGTTATTTGGAAGCTTCACAAGCAAAAAAATGTATGCAGAATCTGCGTAGTCAAATGGATGAACTGCCATCAGTAGATGGAGTTCTTCAGCTGATTAAAGTAATCTGGCCTGGATATTATAGCAGCTTGTATAAATAGCTCATATTTCTCCGGATAATTTTCTGTTTGGGGGTGCGCACAAGCTTCTTCGTGCTGTCATCACACATTTCTTTCTATGTTTATAACTATTTTTAAAATCTGAAATTTCCACACAGTCTAGCATATATCTTTAAACATAACTAACAATTGCCAGAGTTCAGAAGCTTTAAAACAGGAGACAGGTAATTGAAAAGGCACCAAAAATCCTAGATCCTTTAAAAATATGCATGTGCAGAATTGGTATACATGCAAATATTATATTTAAAAAGCAGGGTTGACATGCTGTCTTAAACCGAATCAGTTTTATCTGAAGATCTAAATTAGGGATGGGGAATTTATTGGCCTCCATGCTTGACCAGTCCAACTTGTGAGACTTAACACAAGGTTTCTTTCCCTATGCAATATCTTTTATCAATATCTTGCTGTTCTAGTCCTGTTTATGCTTTTACAAGACTATTAGCAGGTATGAGTTGGCTTTGGGTATATTCTGCCTCACCCTCTTTTAGATGAAGAGTGAAGTAAGGGCCTCTGATGCTGCTTGAGGATCATAGTAGGCAAGAGTGGGCTGCTGGAGGTTCACAGGGGTTCGGGAGATCCTCTAGCTAAGATTCTGCACAGTTTGGAGAACCCCCAAATCCCACTCCTGGCTGGCCCTGCCCACTCATCCCTGTCCCTCCTGCAAGTCCCCATGGGGAACGTTCTGGATGCAGGGTGCGCAGGGAGGCTCGGGGAGGGTGAAAAACAGGCCTCCCAGAAGTTCGGGAAGGCCAGAAACGGGCCTCTTTCCACCTTCCAGAGGGCTGTTTTCACTCTCCCGGAGACTCGAGGAAAGCCTTCAGAGCCCAGGGAGGGCAAAAACGCCGGAGGCTAACTAGGCTAACTAGGCCACACCCACCATGGCCACGGGTCCCCAGCAACCGGGCAGAGAACCCGTTGCTAAAAATTTTGAAGCCCACCCCGATAATAGGTCATGTCAAGATGAACTGCTTTTCTAGGCAGAGGTCTTTTTCATTTAGGAAGAATCCTGTTGCAATAATCTCTTGTACTCCCTGATCATGGATCATGCTTTTTTTTTTAAAAAAAAAAGTTTTATTTTTATTTTTTATAAAAACAAATCCATCTTTCAGTTATACAGTGTGTTGACTGGGTACATATATCTTGTGCACATATTAATATTTGTATACATTTCTTACTAAGTTTACATTCAGAGGATATTTAGGACTGCAGAAAAAACAACTACTACCACCTGCCTTCAATCGAGGACCTGTATACTGCACGAGTCAAAAAGAGGGCTGTGAAAATATTTACAGACCCCTCACATCTCAGACATAAACTGTTTCAACTCCTTCCCTCAAAACGACAATATAGAGCACTGACACCAGAAAAACTAGACACAAGAATAGTTTTTTCCCGAAAGCCATCACTCTGCTAAACAAATAATTCCCTCAACACTGTCCAACTACTGCAAAGTCTGCACTACTATTACTGTTAATCTTCTCATCACTCCTATCACCCATCTCCTCCCACTTATGACTGTATGACTGTAACTTTGTCACTTGTATCCTTATGATTTATTTTGACTGTTTCCTAGTATGATTTGATTGCTTTTTGTATCCCATGACTATCATTAAGTGTTGTACCTTATGATTTTTGTCTTTTGACGAATGTATCTTTTCTTTTATGTATACTGAGAGCATTTGCACCAAGAGAAATTCCTTGGGTGTCCAATCACACTTGGCCAATAAAGTATTCTATTCTATTCTATTCTATTCTATTCTATTCTATTCTATTCTA